CTATGCACAGTACCAATATCCAACAAAAAATGTTCTGTACTTTGTAGACCTCCGCCCTCATCTCAATAGATTGTTGTTGCGCGGAAGTCATCTGCATTAGAGCCGCGGTTTTTACTTCTATCGACTTCACGAGTGGACGCGTCTGAGAGCAGTTAATCTCTGTGACAAGATCTCTGAGCTTCAGCTGCTCATCAGATATGCAGGATGAGAAGATTACTTGGAATTCTTGTACTTTTGAAATATTGCATTTGCGGTGACGTGCATGACTTTGATGGAAATATCAAGAACTTTGTAGTTGGTAACAGTAAGTTATTTGTTCTTACTGACCATCGACTACATCAGATGAGCCACGATCTTTCTGAGGTGAAGAGGAAAGACATCACTGATGCCACTGAACACAACAGAGTCAACATTCTGCTGCCTTTTGACGCCAACGGCACCCTGATAACGTGTGGGGCTTATAAAGATGGATATTGTGAGGTTCTTGATATAAATGACATTACAAACAGCATTTACTATGAAAGTAATATATTGATAGGACCGCGACAGGATGAGAAATCTGTTGCCTTCATAGCCGGTACAAGTAGCAGTAGGTACCTTTTGGTTGGGAAAAAAGACGACGATGCAAAAGCTCAGGATACCAGGTATTCTGTTGTTACCTTGTGGAACACTTTACAGTCTCAAGCAGGTGGGATTTTCTCAAAAATAGCAGAAGGATCAGATGCCAGCATTCAGAGCACTGTGAGAGATGTGGAGTTTGTTGGCGGATTCCAGAGAGTTTCACCCTCAGAATCCTACTTATTTCTCAACGCAAAGACTGGCTCAGAGAGGAAAGTGCTCGTCCTGTGGATGAACAGCTCTAAAGGAAAAAAGAGAGACATCATCAAATCCCTACAGGCTGCAACGATACGATGCTGCAGTGATAAAGCTCGTCCAGTGCTCGTCGCCTGCACTGTTATTCCCTCAGTGAACAGCGTTATTTGGGCAGGTGTGTTCAGTGCGCAGAATCAGCAGGATCCGGAGAACAGCGCGCTGGCAGCGTTATTTGGGCAGGGGTGTGCAGTGCGCAGAATCAGCAGGATCCGGAGAACAGCGCGCTGGCTCTGTACGACATCAGGAGCATTCAAGGCCGAGTGAAGGGCTTCTGCGCTTATGGTGAAAACCCATGTGGTTCAGAGGTTGGAAATTGAATTCATACACGTTTTTAAAAAAGGAGAGCAGCATTTCACATTATTGAGACTTGAATAACAATAGAATGTTGCATGATAAACGTAATTGTACCGTTCACTAAATACATATAAAGTTTCAGTTTGTTGTTTGTTTTTCAGAGTGATACTGAACTTCAGCCGCTGTCTGTGGTGTTCAAGCACAGCTCAATGTCAGCAGTGGCAGCAGTTAGAAGTGGATCCTGGATTGTGCTGTTCATAGGAACCAGTGATGGTCAACTCATAAAGGTCTCATTCACTTCTATCTCATACACCCATGCCTTTATTTTCACTATTCTCTATTTTTTTATTTTTAAATATCTGATTAGTGATTATTTTCCTCTTCTCCTCAGAAAGATCGTGGCTCATCTGATGTAGTCGATGGTCAGTAAGAACAAATAACTTACCGTTACCAACTACAAAATCCTTGATGTCTGAATCAAAGTTCACTGCATCACCGTAAATGCAGTATTTCAAAAGTACAAGAATTCCAAGTAATCTTCTCATCTTGCATATCTGATGAGCAGCTGAAGTTCAGAGAACTTGTCACAGACATCAACTGCTCTCAGACGCGTCCACTCGTGAAGTGGATGGAAGGGAAAGCAGCGGCTCTGAGGATGCTGATGACTTCCGCGCAACACACCAACAAATCTGTAGCCCTGATTGCGACATTCAGATGTTTTGTAAGTTATACAATTTCACGAGGAAACACATTTCATGATCAAACACAGAAGAAAAATCGAGCCAGGAACAAGTCTGTACTCTCTTGAATTAACTGTATTGACAGCAGACTTTGTATTTAATAGTTTTGTGAAGTTCTGCAGTTTTTTAGTTAGCCTACTGCTGCACCCTTGTGGTACATAAACAGCTTCATATTTAGAAAAGAACAGAATAGATTAAAATATAATTGATTGCCATTTAGATATAATTTGCCATTTGATGAGTTTTGCTCTATTTATTTCTATTTTCTGTATAACCATAAGCTTCAGTGAATTAGTATCATAATTACATTATTTGATCATATGTAGGCTATATCATTGTTGTTGAGGGTCATAATATACAAAAGACAGTATCTTGTCGCCATCTACAGGTGTAATTATAGACCTAGACACAAATCCCCATTAATAGCCTACTACACTAATCGATGACCAGAGTTAACTGCTATTTATTAATATAAATATTTACATTTATATAAAATCTTTTAAAGGCTTTTATTTATAAAACAGTAGTTTTGGTAATATTGTATCTAAAATTTAAGTTAAAGATTTGCTTGAGACATTTTAAGGTATTAAAATATCGAAAACATTTTATGAATTTTATGACAATTAATTTAGCTAGTAATATTACTGTAACAATTTAATTAAACAATATGTCCTGGTATTCTTTGTAGGCACTGCGCACAAAAAGAAAAAAATATTGTTGTGAGTTTTACTGAAACCTTTTGTCTTGTCACTTGTAACAAATGCATGTAATCACTTGATCTTAAATTAAGAGTTGTTTCAATCAACAAAACTGTATTATTAGCTTTTCTTGACAAGTCAATGTAACAATGCACTCGACAACTGATAAACACAATGCAAGATGTCCCTTTATGCACACCATATTTGACATCAGCAACTGAAGGCCAGAGCAACAGTAATGCTGGCGATTATGAATGCAGGTTTTTTCCACAGCCTTGACTATTATTTTTCATGGAAGCATATGAAAGACTGGAAAATGCACTGAATGAAATTCTGGTTGTTCAGATTAATAAATTAAAATGAGCTAAAGCCACACAGTTGCATTTTATCACAACTTTATCGTGTTCAGTCCATTTAAAATGTAAAATTGAAGTTTACTAAATCCATTTGTGTTGGGACTACATAAATCATTTTTGTTGCATTAACTGAAACTGCATGAGTGGATTTTTAGTTCCCAGTATGATTTGCATATAAGACTGAATTGGAAGAGTAAATGTTGAAATTAAGTGTTGTGTGTGTTTTAAGTAAAGGAAAAAACCTGTTAGTGTTTAATGTTCAGTTATGTTGGACATTTAAAAGAGTTCCTGTTGTTTGTTTTTGTGGTTAGTATTGTAAGAGCTTGTGGTTAGGTTGTGCGATGCATCATTCAAAGAAGTTATTTGCATTTGTATACGCAAAAAGTTAAAAATGTTAACTTTTAAATAACTTTATTTTAAAATTGATTGATTTTGAGACTGCCACTTCCTCTACAAAGTGTACACTGTTCATGTGCAGCCACTGGCCCCTCCTCCATAGGACACTCATGTGCACAAGACATCCACAACCTAAAGAAAAGTGCCACTCTTCACACAGTCGTAGCCCAAAAACAGACATATACATACATACTGAACTTTTCATTCTAATTCTAACATAAAATTTTTAAGTAAAACAAACATATTAGGGCATTAGCCTACATATTTAGGGCACTGGGAAAATTGTGTTAAAACACAAACATTGTATTTAATGGTTGCTTTACAACGTTAATAAATCTCTATCTTGACTTTATTGGTTAATTTAGAACGTTTAGGCTTGCTTTTAAATATGTGTGTGAATGCAAAACAATTAAAAGAGGACGCTGTTTTTTTTTTTTACATGCACTCAGATAAGCTTTAGAATGCTTTGAGCAAAGGTCAACAGTAACCATAGAAGCTGCTGCTTTCACTTCCATCCACTTCACAAGTGAACGCATCTGAGCGCAGTTCATCGAAACTTCATCTGCTCATCAGATATGCAGGATGAGAAGATTACTTGGAATACTTGTACTTTTGAAATATTGCATTTGCGGTGATGTGGTGAACTTTGATTCAGACATCAAGGATTTTGTAGTTGGTAACGGTAAGTTATTTGTTCTTACTGACCATCGACTACATCAGATGAGCCACGATCTTTCTGAGGAGAAGAGGAAAATAATCACTAATGCCACTGAATACAGAGTCAACATTCTGGTGCCTTTTGACGCCAACAACACCCTGATAACGTGTGGGACTTTTAATGATGGATATTGTGAAGTTCTTGATATAAATGACATTACAAACAGCATTTACTATGAAAGTAATATACTGATAGGACCGCGACAGGATGAGAAATATGTTGCCTTCATAGCCGGTACAGGTAGCAGTAGGTACCTTTTGGTTGGGAAAAAAGACGACGATACAAAAGCTCAAGATGCCAGATATTCTGTTGTTACCTTGTGGAACACTTTACAGTCTCAGTATGGTGGGATTTTCTCAAAAATAGCAGAAGGATCAGATGCCAGCATTCAGAGCACTGTGAGAGATGTGGAGTTTGTTGGCGGATTCCAGAGAGTTTCACCCTCAGAATCCTACTTATTTCTCAACGCAAAGACTGGCTCAGAGAGGAAAGTGCTCGTCCTGTGGATGAACAGCTCTAAAGGAAAAAAGAGAGACATCATCAAATCCCTACAGGCTGCAACGATACGATGCTGCAGTGATAAAGCTCGTCCAGTGCTCGTCGCCTGCACCGTTATTCCCTCAGTGAACAGCGTTATTTGGGCAGGTGTGTTCAGTGCGCAGAATCAGCAGGATCCGGAGAACAGCGCGCTGGCTCTGTACGACATCAGGAGCATTCAAGGCCGAGTGAAGGGCTTCTGCGCTTATGGTGAAAACCCATGTGGTTCAGAGGTTGGAAATTGAATTCATACACGTTTTTAAAAAAGGAGAGCAGCATTTCACATTATTGAGACTTGAATAACAATAGAATGTTGCATGATAAACGTAATTGTACCGTTCACTAAATACATATAAAGTTTCAGTTTGTTGTTTGTTTTTCAGAGTGATACTGAACTTCAGCCGCTGTCTGTGGTGTTCAAGCACAGCTCAATGTCAGCAGTGGCAGCAGTTAGAAGTGGATCCTGGATTGTGCTGTTCATAGGAACCAGTGATGGTCAACTCATAAAGATCTGCTTTATATTTTATTTTTCACTAGTGTCTTAGATGCTATCCTCTCTATTTGGAAAACACTAAGTAGGTTGCATTGTACCTTGGGTTTATGTAAGCATGATGATGAAAATGGACTCTAGGTGTAACAATTGTCATAATAATTATATAACTACTGCAAACACAACAAGTGGTTTCTTTTTAAGAGAATGTCATGTGATGTCATAAAACAAATAAGTTTATTATAGTATAAATAATTATAGGATAAATAGTGCTTTGAATTTAACCACTACCCATGTATAACCATGTATAAACATTTATTTAGTTGCTATAAAATCAATTTAAACAAAATTTGAGACAGAACAATATGCATCATTAAATTAGGTATGTGGAAGTTTTTATAAATAAATTCATTCAGTGGTAACACTTTGCAATAAGGTGCCATTTGTTAACATTAGTTGATGTATTAACTACAATGAACTAACAATGAACAATATATTTGTTACAGTATTTAATAATCTTTGTTAATGTTAGTTAATGAAAACTAACTAATAAACTAAAAAGTTATTCATTGTTTGTTCATGTTAGTTCACAGTGCATTAACTAATGTTAAAAAATACAACTTTTGATTTTAATAATGTAGTAGTAAATGTTGAAATTAAGATTAACCAGATCAATAAATGCTTTAGAAGTATTGTTCATGCTTAGTTCATGTTAACTAATACAGTTAACTACTTAACTAATTAACCTTATTGTAAAGTGTTACCCATTCATTTAAATACGAATATTGAAATATTGAAACATTACTTTTTTGCATCTTTGTCAGCATTGTTTGATTTTTTTTTGCCCTTAACTGTTCTTGGCATTATAACATTATAAGCCTTATTAAAATTATAAGAATTATGCATCATGAAGTATTGTTAAACACAGTCTCAAATAGCCAAAAAAAAACATCTGTTCTCTGACTTTTTTTTTTGCATTTCTATTTTTGTGGAATCTGTGAATAATAGGTAGGCCTACTTTATATCCCAGCAATGAACATCAAAATTAATAAATTGCATGAATAAAGCACCACAGTCATAACGATTTGGCTGAACTTCGGATAATGATGCTGTTTGTATTTTTAGCTTATGTTAGATGAGAAATTCACACCAGGATGTCCAACAGTGCTGTTCAGATCTGATGATAAACGAGCAGTGCTTCCCAGAATGCACTTTGATCCAGTAGATTTCAAATATATCTACATTGCTCTGAGGAAACGGGTGAGGTACAGTTACCGTACAGTTAATAAAAAGTGTCAACATTGAAAGTAAAAATGTAATTGCTTACTCACTAAAAGTTGTACTTGAGGCACACTCAGTGAAACCATTCATATGAATCTTCAGATCAAGTCCTCAAAACTCGGTGTTTTGAGAAACAAAATTTTCACCCTAGCATTTCTGTTTACAGCTCTTTGTAAATATATTTATTTATTTTATTTATTTAGTCATTTAGCAGATGCTTTTATCCAAAGCGACTTACAAATGAGGACAATAAAAGCAGTCAAAACTAACAAAAGAGCAACAATATATAAATGC